ACATAGACCCTGCTGATTTTATTTCTGCTCTTTAATTTTTTCCTACCTCATTTTTACCAACTACAGTTTCCTTACCACTTTGTAAAGTGTGGGAAAGGATGAGAAATACTTTCCTAGCCAGGAAAGAATGGGGTGAAGTGACAAAGTCAATATGTACGTATCTGAATATCTGATAAATACAGCTCAGTCTTCATTATTTTTTAGTTTTTAAAATGACTATTTAAAGCATGAAGTATACAGAATAACATAAAACACTGATGCATAGCAACTCAGCTCTAATAGTTTTGCTGTACTTACCTGAGTTATTGTAAAGGAAATAGTGTTACAAAAAGGCTGGGGCCCTTCCATGCCCCGCCCACCCCTGGTCCCTTCCCTCCCCAGAGCAGCTCCATCTGGGTGACTACACTTTTACCAAGTCAGATGTGACTCCTGTGATGGGAGCAGCAGCCAGCGCTTTGGGAGGTGGCCTTCCCTGCCCAGGCAAAGGCAGGGCAGACTGGGGAAGGTGGGAAGGCGGGCTTACCCGGGGCCTGCAAGAAAAGACTGCACTCCGTACAAATGCTTTCATTACGTCAGGAGGCAAACGCCAGTGGTAAAGCCCGGGGTGGAGACATGCCCAGTGTTTAAGCCCTTAACGTTTTTTCTCATGGTCTACAGCAAGTAGATTAAAAAATTATACCCAGACTCAAGTGAAAAGCTATAAAGGTGAGCAGGTTAAAATTTTAGATAAACAGACTTGTTCTCCAAGTCACATCCCAGAACCAGTAAGATGAAAACCTGGTCCTTCTCAAAACACCCACTCCCTCAGGTCCAATATCTCTACAGTTTACAATGTAAGACTCTCAAACAGAGGTGGATGGCTACCTGCATATACTTTTAAGGACACAACCTAAAAATAATTATTTATCGAATTCATCACATCAGATGTGTTCTCCCATCCAACAGAACAGGTACAGGGATGTAACACTGAGTCCCAAACCAGACACACACGCTCATGGACTCATGCAGCTTGCAGTGCAATGGAGAGACCCACATGCGTGGAAGAATCTATCCAAGAAGAGGGACATGGTGGCTCTGACAGGAACACACAAGGGGACATGACTTGGGTGGAGAGGTTGGGAACAGCACAGTCACCTAAGGAGCTGAAGGGGCAGGATTTCAGGACAGGGAAACAGCATGGAGTAGGAGGGAGCAAGGTGGGGGGCCCCGAGTAACTGAAGGAAGGCCGTGTGTGGCTGGAGTTTCCAGAGCTTGGTCAGAGATGAGCCAGAGCAGATGTGGTCAGACAACGCTGCGCCTTAGCGAGCTGTTATG